AAGTCAATTAAAAAACATATAATAAATCACTTGAAATAAGAAAAAAGTTTTTTTGAAAGTCTTGTCGGAGTGTAAGAGCGGAGCGGATGTTAAAGAAAAGACGATCAAAAAAGTCTTCAGAGACCAAGTGATGGGTCGACTGTCAGTGACTGACGATTATATATGTATTTGTTTGCAACACTTGAGCCAATACTGTATTATAAGATAGTTTGTGATCACAATTAAGACGAGTGTCTGGTTTGCGGTTTTCCTGTCATACGTTATGGTCTAATGTGGTGTCTCTGAAGGCAGAGTCCCAGTACTGTCTATCGACTCCTTTTCCAATCGTATGGATAGTCAATGCATTCAAGGCATGAGATATCACCTGATGTTCAGTCATCTGCAGTCATATCACATGTGAAACAACACTCTCTGAGTCTGACGTCGAGCTGAGAGAGACTCGCGTGAGATATCGCAGCCAATCGTCAGCCAAAGCCTATCGACAGACTCCGAGCCCCACAAGCCTTTCCCCACCAGAGCTATACATTTCACACATACTCTCCTCTATTCACTGTATTGTCGTGTTATATAACATGCCGTAGAGTTATGCCATAACTATGTGCACAATGCAGTCAATGCTATATAACCGGCTAATTATACTGTTGTCAAGCCTACAGACAACTTATTACACATATTTTATCATTTTATAATTTATACATTGTATATATTGTATATGATTCACAATGTATTGCATTTGTTTCGCACAATTCTAGTTGAGATTTGAATCTAGATACAAATATTCTATTATTCATTTACAGTTAATTGCAGATATTTTTATTTGTTTAATTGTCACAGATTTTTTAGTTCTCCTACTGTATCAGGAATTGCAGTGAATGTGAAAAACTATGACTATTAATACAGTATACGTAAATTTTAATCAAATTAGCATCAAGGTAATTTATAACACATTTTCCCTATGTAATCATTCATTGGATGTTATTGTTTTGACAATTAATTTGTACTCTAATTACTTATAACTAGTGAGTGAATTGAATGTCAAATAAAATGAGTTGATGTTTAGACAAGACATTCAATGGCACACATGATATTCACATGCGATGAACGATAATTAATACTAATTATTCAACACTACTATCCCTATACTTAAGTTTGGTTTTTTGCAATAATTTATCACTTTTTTCAAAATTTGTTTCTTTTCCTATAAATATTAATGTATTTATAAACATATCGAAAGTTTTAGTTAATTAAGTGATTGCCAATCACTGATAGGAGAATATTTTGGTTAATATCAGTTCATTTTTAAAGTTATATTAAACTTTGTGTTATCATGAAAAGTGTATTGAATTTTAATGACTTGATTCAATTAAAGGGAAGATAAAACGCGTTAATTTGCATTCAAAATACATTCAATTTACCTTAATGTTTGAAATTAAAGTGTTTTCAACTCTTGTATTTATTTATTATTTTGAAAATTATTTTCAGGTCATTTATATTGAGGTATTGAACAAAGAATTTCACAGAATTTTCCAGAATTTGGTCCATTGACTTAGTTGTGATAAGAAATATTTTTGTAATCAAATATTTTTATTTTAAACTTTAAAATAAATTGTGGTGAAAGTACTTTTAAGTTTCCATAAAATGTTTTATCTCAATATATTTTCTTGTTTTGTTTAACCTATCAACAAATGCTGTATTGATCTAACAATAAGATAGAGTCAATTTATTAATTAATAATGCAGTATTTGGCAAATACTATTTGCTATTATATATTGACATTGAATGTTAATTGTTTAAATCCAGTAGTGATTGAATTATGTGCAAAATATTCATTTTCACATTTGTCCAAATTTAGTGAATAAATAATATATTATTTTTAAATTATTACATTAATGATTTGATTGAATTAAATTCAACTGCGATTTCAATGCCATTTTCGTCGTGTTTTGAAAACAGAGCGAAAAACTCCCAAATATTTATTCAGTCTTTCCTTTAATTTACGTTTGAAAGTGGAAATGATCGACAATTTTATACAGTATTGCAATTAAATGTTAATTTAGTAGAGAATACCATACATTTATGTTAAACATTAAATATCCTGAAAAATATCCATACATTTTATGAAGTTATGTCTTAATGTCTAAAGAAATAACGAAATAAATAGTTTCAACACCTCTTCTCTCAATGCTATTTAATTATAAGTTTTATTGTCGTTTAAATCCAAGCATTTTGTTTACAATAAATAAATCTAAACTTTTATTACACATAATAAATATATTTACTGTGATCTACAGTAATATGTTTTATCAAAATATATACCAATTTGTAATACAATAAAGTATGAAAATGTGATTACAATCACACCATAAGTAAAACATCGAGTATTGAATTTGTAAAAAATAATAATTGATTTGTTAAAAGCCTATTAAAAATCAAAATTAATCATTCAATGATTTACAATTAAACTATCATGTTACTGTTTTCATATTAAACATAAGATATTAAGTAAGTATTTGTAAGAATCACAGAATACGATAAAGTCATGTAATTTAAGGCATCTTTTTTGTCAGAATTGATAGCAATTGTGTAGAAATGAGTTTTTTAATGTGATTTAAATGCAATTTTATAATAACGCGGAAATGTCTGACTTCGGGTCCGGAATGCGTGAACTCCAGTCCGTCGTACGGCAGGCGAGTAAATGCGGTCCGCAATCGATGCCAACTCCACGACTAGTGGTCTCCGATATATAGCACGTGTGTTGAGAGGACCAGAAATGCGAATACAAATCGTTTATCCAATTAAGCAATTGGTCGCCGGATTTGCGAGAATTCTTAAGCCCAGAAGTAATGTCCAAATCATTCTTTAAGCCGAGAAACGTTTCGATTGCACTGAAATTGTGTGCCGTATAGGAGGGCTTCGGACCGCTGTGTACAGACTTTGCGTACTCTTTAGTGGCTTTAGTTTTGTTGCGAAATAGTAAAGGAGTGACTAAAAACTTATGGTCCGCAATGACTACCCATTTATGCAAAACCATTAGCCGCCAAACGCCGGGCCGTAACGGAACTTTGCGTACTCTTTAGTGGCTTTAGTTTTGTTGCGAAATAGTAAAGGAGTGACTAAAAACTTATGGTCCGCAATGACTACCCATTTATGCAAAACCATTAGCCGCCAAACGCCGGGCCGTAACGGACCGTTCAATTGTGGCCGTTGTGTGAGCGGCTGATCGCCGGTGGCGTTCACTTCGACCCTCACTTCGTAAGAGGCGGCCACTGTATTGATCGGATCGATCCACACAAATGTGGTGCTCAACGGTTCACCATTCATATTATGCCACTTATGCATAGCTATTGGCTTTGAAAACGGGCCTAAAATGCAGCCAAAGTTTCGGAACATCAACTCTTTGACATCAAAGTCGGAACACACCTAACAATAAATACATTTTTTAGTTTTCAAACCACTTGTTATAATTGTTTCAATAATTACAAACCGTTAAAGATATGAGTTTTTCTGGCATTTTATTTGTATTGTTATTTAAATGATTAATCGGACGGATAAGCGTTTGGAAATTTAATATTGTCTTAAATTCATTGTTAACGACCGATTGATATGAGATTATTATGCCCTCAAAGATATCGTTATTGAAATACAGATCCACTTCTTGGACATGACTTAAGTGGAGTGCTTTTGAGAGTTTGATTTGACTAAAAACATCACTTAATTGGCATTTATTTTCAATTGCTTTTTGACTATTAATAGCAAACGCATAGTAAAAAGTGAGTTTCGCGTCGTCTATGAGGGGCTGACTATCTCTAAAATCGTAATCGTTTTGCCAATACTTGTCCACAGAAACCATGAATTGACTAAAATTCTTGTTTATCGCTTCTTCCAATTGATTGATAATATTTTGATTAATTATTGCTTCGAATTTTCGACCAAAGAATAAGGGCTTAGATTTAGTGGTGAGAAGTCGGGGCCAATCGATGGACTTGAAGTCGTTGGGCGAACAGCCGCACCAGTCGACTATGTGTTTGTACTGACACTTACAGCCCTGCTTTCGACGCCAATTCGTGAGCCGAAGATTGTTGTCAACGATTGTCGCACAGAATTCACTGTTTTGTAATACAGTGTGAAAGAAGGACTAGTAGTGGATAATCAGATAATTTATTAGTTGTTTTCATTCATCTATTTTATATTCAATTAAATCCGTGACAAATCGCGTACCTCTGCCGGCAGTAAAGTGTATTTAAACAACTGTTTAAGTCCTGACAGTAGTTCGTTGTCTTCATATGTGATGTAATGACAAAATTCACGGCTCAATACAACCCAATCGCTCCCTCCGTCCCAACGAATGCCTTTCATTGAAAAATCATTTAAATTGTAAAATAATGCAATAATGTATAATAATGATTTGTAATGATTACCAGTTGGTAACACTCTATCAGCCACTCTCCACATATGTGTATCGCATTCATAGAAAGTCTTGTCGAGACCTTGTTTTGATATAAACCGTTGTGAGTCCTGTCCGTGCGATTTAACAAAGTTTTTCTTCCGATTTGAAGCTAAAAAATTTTCCAATTCTTTGATTGGCCTTCAAATAAATAATTGTATTTTTTAGTTAAATATAAAAAGTATATCATTTTTAAAAACAAACTTTAATGGAAAATCGGATTCACTAATGTTGATGAGAAAATCCCAAGAATTTGGCCAAACATTGAATTCAAATATTTGTTGAATAGAGTTGAGGAGCATTTGAAGAAGACTAGCGCCGCCCCATATTGTGGACAAACGGTTTCGACTCACTCTTACATTTGGTAATTTGGTTTCCAATTGAATTAATTCGCGATACAAGTAATCCTGACGCTAAACATTAATATAACGTAAACTATTAAAAAGTTTATAATTATGTCAAACAAAACTAATAGTAATCAATGATAAACTAAAAAATAATAAATGTAATTAAAATTTGGTATTTTATTCTCTTATTTATATAACATTATTGTAAATTTATTTTTAATGTTTTCAATATAAATACTT